GGCTTGGCGCCCCGCCCCGCCCGCACGCCAGGCCCCGCCCCCGCGGGCCCCGCCCACACAGTTCAGTTCCGCCCACCCCTTGCCAGGAAGGCGGCCGCCAGGGGCGCCGCAAGAGCTGCGGCGGCGGTCGTTGTGGGTGCAGTCCCCTCTAAGGCATCTCTTCGGCGATGCAATTCTTAGTGCTTACTACTTGAAGGATGCAAGTCTTCTCTCCGATTTATTATTACTATGATTATAATCGTTCTCGTCATTGTCATTGTTTTGCCCTCCTCCAGAAGACTAGATGGTTCCTTTGAGGCCGGTGTTGGCGGGCCAACGAGTAGCCCTCGCCACTGACTGCACACTCCCTGTTACTCTGACTCTCTCCGGGTGGCCCGCACCTGCGCCACGTTTCGTTGTGAAATAGTGAACAAGTTGAAAGAGATATTTATTTTTAACTGTTACATTGTTAAATATAACGCAAATACAGAAAGCCATCTAAAACTAGTGCATAACTTAATAAATTATTCGGAGACCTGAGCTCTTATAACCACTCCCCATTTAGCACTCTGTAAAATGGTCTGACTCAAAACCTCGTCAATGACTGGGAGGACACAGCCTGGGAAGGGCCTCCTAAAATTGCCGTACTCCTAATTCTCACAGGAATTCAAAGGCCAACTGTCCATAATCATGCACTCTCCAAAAACACGTTTGTAAGATGAAAATTTCTCCAGAATCAAGAATTCCAATTAAAAGGAAATTTGCGAAATTCTTAATTAAAATGATAAATAATAAATATATGCATGTAAGTAATAAGTTAATCAATTATGAGATTGAACTGCATGAATAAGGAACACCTAGGGGTGGGGATGAGTGGTATGTAAAGACTTAAAAGAAACTTAAAAATAGCCAAGGATTAGGTGGCCTATGAAGATTGGTCCTGGGTACCTGGGCTGTCCTCATTCTGTGTCGCTAGCACCCAGCACAGCACTAGGCATATAATAGGTGCCATGTGTGTATTTATAGTGCAAAGGAAAGTAAATATATCTTTGTATGTATATGTATATACATGTTTTGCCTGAACAATTTCATGCAAGGTCAATCCTCCTAATAGCTAAAATGAACTCCATGAGATGCCTCCGTGCTTTGGATAGAGGCCGTTATACTTTAAACTTTATACTGCCCTTTCGACTTGCATATGGTATCTTATTCAAGACTGTCAACAAAAGTTTGCTGTCACCAATCCAATGCCAATAAGAATCCCCAATCCGGGGTGCAGTAAAAGGAGAAACTTTATTCAGGCAAACAGCTTGGAATTCTAGGAAAGCAGCCTCCAGTGGAAACCCTGGAAGACAAAGGGGAGGCTGCCTTTAATAGACAAAGCCCAGTCCTGGTCCCTGATTGGTCCATTTTTATGCAACTGAAAAAACCCAAATTTGCACAGTTTGATTGCTTCAAATAGCACTGTCCTGAATGGTCAAAATCAAGCATCCTAATTGGTCATTATGGAGCTTCTCTGATTGATCAGTAAAGATGAAAATGAAGATATTATTGTGCAGCTCCGATTGGATGGGGCAGATCTCAACCCATTGGTCAAGAGACCATTCCAGGAACTCCTTTATAAGGGTCTGCTCAGAAAAACAGGAATGCAGTTCAGGAGGCTTGGCAACTCAGTGTCTTTCCATGACGTGTGCGTTTGTGAGAGGCCTCTGTCAGCAATGGCTGCTGGACCCTGGTCATGATTTTGGGCCCAATTAACCACAAGAACTCTTCTTTGGCAGATATATTCTTTCTTGGGGTTCACAAGACATAAAGCTATTTCTTGAGAAAGGTGGGGCAGGACAGAGGACTTTGCAAAGGTCACAGTGCAGTGCGTACCTGAGAAGTACAAAGCGAACTATAAAACAATTTCAGTATTGCTGACCCTGTCAATCCCTGCTGGATTCCTGGTTTATCTTGACAGTTTTAATGCCTATGTTTTTACATTAGAACTCCTTTGACTCCTTTGGCATACATTTATATAAAGTACACAACACCTAACTGGAAATGTGATTCAATACGATGGAGTCAGCCTCTTTATCATGAGCATTTTGGTGCATTGGGGCTAGAAAGCTGCCAGTTAGCCACCATTTATTGAACACTCTGGCTCTGTGGTAGGTGGAGGAAATACAAAGAATGGAAAATGAATAAGACACAGTCTTTGCTCTCAAGAATTTATGGCGGAATTAGGGAGGAATATTTGTCAATAAGTGAACTTTTAATTTATCTGGATGATAGAGGAACAGTGCTGAGCACAATTAATTCTATTAGGTGTAGGGAGAAAGTAGGGCAAGTTTTCTCAGAGAAGAAACCATTTCATTTTTTTAATTATGGAAAAATAAATATTTCAAAAATAGAATATATAATGAACTACTATGTACACGTTATTCAGTTTTAACAATTATCATCTTATAGCCAATTTGTTCCATCTGTACCTCACCTTTTCTTTCTCTCCCTGGTTTATTCTGAAGCAGATCACAATAAGTGTATTATTTCACTTACAAATATTTCACTAAGTATCTCTAAATGATATGGTCTACCTTTAAAAACAACCACAAAATCATTAAAAAAGCTTTAAAAATTAAGAATTTTTAAATATCTTGTAAGTGGTCAAATTGTCCTAATTTTCACATAAATGTTTCATATAGTTTATTACTTCAAGTCAGGACCCAAACAAGGTCCTCACATTGCATTCGCTTAAAATCTCTAAAATGTTTTTTTTCCCCTTGCACTTTATATGTTGAAGAAATTGATTGCTTCTCCTGTGAAGTTTCCCACATTTTGCATTTTGCTAATCGAATCCCTGTGGTGTTGTTTAACATATTCCTCTACCTTTGTATTCCTTATAAAATGATAATAGCACTAGAGACTTGATCAGGTTTAGGAAAGTACAATTCGTAACAAAGAGAAAAGTCAATCAATCAAAAACAGAACTGTCACACATGTTAGAATTAGCAGACAAGGACATTAAAACAGTTACTGTAACTGTAGTCCAACTGTTCAAGAAGTTAGGCAGAGACATGGGTTATATTTTTTAAAAATCCATAAGATTGTACTTCTAGAGTTGAAGATTACAATGTTTGTATAAAATATGTTCATAGGATTAGTGGCAAGTTAGACATTGCCAAAGATTAGTGAACTTAAACTCACGCCTGTAGAAAGTATCCAAAATGAAACATACATAGGAAAAAAAAGATTTAAAAAGTAAAAAGGGCATCAATGACCTGCGGGACAACATGAAGTGGCCTAATATATGTGTAAATAAACTCTCCAAAGGAAATAGATGGGAACAAAAAATATTTGGATTAATAATGACCAAAATTTTCCAAAATTGTTGAAAAATATATACTACAGGTCTAAAAAGTTCTACATACCCTAAAAACGAGAAACATAAGGAAACCATATGAAGGCACATCATAATTAAATTGTTCAAAATCAGTAATAAAGAGAACAATCTTAAAAGTAGACAGAAAAAGACAGGTTATACATAGTGGAACAAAAAAAGGATGACAGCAGATCTCTTGTTAGAAAAATGCAAGCAAGAAGATAGTGCAGCAACATCTTTAAAGTACTGAAAAAAAATCTGTCGATCTAGAATTCTATTCTCACCTAAAGTATCTATCAAAAATGAAGGCGAAATAAAGATTTTTTTCATACATACAACAGCTAAAAGGATTCATCATAGCAGAAATGCACTAACAATAAGTGCTAAAGCAAGTCTTCCATATGTATGGAAAATGACTCCAGATGGGATGATGGATCTACAGAAAGGAAGGAAGAGCACAGAAAAAGTAATTTCATGTATAAATATCTACAATCTTAGAATTACTATTAAAATATCTTTTGAAGATTTGACTATTTAAACAGAAATAATAACAATGAATTATAGGTATAATTGCCAGATAAAATATAGGATTCCCAGTTAAATCTGAATTTCAGATAAATAATTGTTACTTTATTAGTATAATATCACTAAATATTGGAACATACTGTATAAAGTTATTTTTTATTTATCTGAAATTTAGATTTAACTGAGTGTCCTATATTTTTATGTGTTAGATCTGGCAACACTAATTTTGAGGTTTATAATATAAGTAAAATATACACAAAAAAACCCCCAGTAAAATAGCTAGAAGGAGAAACAAAAGTATGCTTCTATAACTTTTTACTCTCTACTTGTACATGAAATGGTATAATTTCTCTTGAATGTAGATTTTGATAAGTTAAATATTTATACTATAAACCCTAAAGCAACTACTAAAAAAAAAAAACCAAGACAATAATAGGTTCATAAGGCAACAAAAGAGTTCAAATGTAAATGTAAAAAATTCAATTAATCTAAAGAAGATAAAAAAGAGAAAAAGCAACAAAGAGATTGAAAATAAAGAAAACAGTTAGCAAGATGACAGACTTAAACCAAGCCATATCAATAATCACATTAAATATAAATGAACTAACTACTCGCAATTAAAAGTCAGAGTCTGGATAAGAAAAGAAGAAACGACAATATGCTGCTTACAAGGAATGTACTTTAAATACATAGACACGAATAGGTTAAAAGTAAAAGGATGGAAAAATATTTACTAT